TGTGTGTGTGTGTGTGTGTGTGTGTGTGTGTGTGTGTGTGTGTATGTGTCCTATGGCTTGAACTCTTGAACTCAGCATGGACACTCACTCTGAGCTTTTGTACCCAAGGTTAGCACTCTGCCACTTGAGCCACAGCTCCACTTCTGGCTTTTTTGGTGGTTAATTGGAGTTGAGTCTCTCGGATTTTCCTGCCTGGCTTCAAACTGTGAGCCTCCTATCTCAGCCTCCTGAGTAGCTAGGATTACAGGGCATCTGGCTCCCTGCCAGTTTTGCTTTAAGATGACAGGACCTCTGCTTTGCAGCTCACAGATCAGAACCAAAGGCCAATTCCAAGGAGTCCGTGGAATATGGAGGCAAGCTGAGGGGTGTTGAGGTGCCAGGCTGGCCTCACTGTGCTGGTCTTACGTGAAGGGTTGATTCAGTATCAGTGTCTCTGAATTAAAGGAACTAGCATCCCAAGTGAGTGAATCAGAGATCTAGGTTTATCTGGCTTTTGCTTCGTGCCAAGGAATGGGACAGGGGAGCTGAATGCCTGTCATGCTCAAGCGCAGCCAGGGAATCCATTCCCACATTTTACAAACTGATACTCTCATACACATAGGTTTGTTTCTCAGCCCCGCCCCGCCCCCCATCTCCTGAGACATTGGCTCCACCCCAAACCTATTCAGAATTTCCCCTTGGTAGAGCTGGGAGTTGGCATCAAGGGTGATCCTCAGGCTGAGGGGCGTGGCTGGGGGGGTAGAGCACCAGTGAGCAGGCACGGGTCCCTGAGTTCGAACTTAAGTACCACTTAAAAAAGAGGAAGAAAAACCACCATGGAACAATTCAGCAATCTGCCCCTACCATTTTTTGAGTGGTGGAGCTGAGTTTTCTGACCAGAGTCCAGGGCTTTTATTTATTTTCTGTCTGCTCGAGAAACCAAGGAGCCTTCTCTGGCCTCGGCTCCCCCTCAGGGCTGGTCAAACCCCTCACAGCCAGGGGAAGGAGCGAATGAGTTAAGGGATGAACAGAGGAATCCTCTAGTCTCTGCTTCCGTTCCAGAAAAGGGGGGACTTGAGGCCTTGGGGAGATGCCGATTTACAGGCAGGGGAACACACACACACACACACACACGTGTGCGCACACACACCACCCCTGTGTTGCTTTCAGAAAAGCCACTGGCAAAAGATCCGCACCATGGTGAACCTGCCGGTCATCAGCCCGTTCAAGAAGCGCTACTCGTGGGTGCAGCTGGCAGGCCACACAGGTGGGCCTCACGGGGTGGGGGTGGGGCAGCTGGCCGGGCCCGGGGACCCCCTTCCCCTCCCCCCCCCCAGCGCTCAGCCCAGCCCTCCGCAGGGAGCTTCAAGGCGGCGGGCACCAGCGGGCTCATCCTGAAGCGCAGCTCGGAGCCCGAGCGCTACTGCCTGGCGCGGCTGATGGCGGACGCGCTGCGGGGCTGCGTGCCCGCCTTCCACGGCGAGGTGGAGCGCGACGGCGAGAGCTACCTGCAGCTGCAGGACCTGCTGGACGGCTTCGACGGGCCCTGCGTGCTGGACTGCAAGATGGGCGTCAGGTGCGGACGCGTGCGCCCCCCCCCCGCCCCGGGGAGGGGGGAGGGACTGGGGGGGCCTCTCTGTGCGCCCCACCACGACCTGCCCCCCCCACCCCTCCGCAGGACTTACCTGGAGGAGGAGCTGACCAAAGCCCGCGAGCGGCCCAAGCTGCGCAAGGACATGTACAAGAAGATGCTGGCGGTGGACCCCGAGGCGCCCACCGAGGAGGAGCACGCGCAGCGCGCCGTCACCAAGCCGCGCTACATGCAGTGGCGGGAAGGCATCAGCTCCAGCACCACGCTGGGCTTCCGCATCGAGGGCATCAAGGTGGGCCAGGACAGGAGGGGCCCGCCCGGCCCTCCCCTCCCCGTCCCCCCTCCCCTCCATTTGCCAGGCCACACCTTCTAGCCACCATCTCCTGGCGCCTAGAAGTTGACATGGGGGGGTGGAGGGTGGCACTGCCCGGCTACCCCTTGCATGATCCTCTCCCTCCAGGCGGGACCCGGCCCCTGACACTCCCTGCCCACCTCCTTCAGAAAGCCGACGGCTCTTGCAGCACCGACTTCAAGACTACCCGAAGTCGGGAGCAGGTGACCCGCGTCTTTGAGGAGTTCGTGCAAGGGGACACAGAAGTATTGGTGAGAGCCAGAGCCCGAGGTGTGGGGAGTGTCTGAAGCCCAGGGTACCTCCTGCTCGTCTGTTCTGGGGCGCCCAGGGTACCTCCTGCTCGTCTGTTCTGGGGCGCCCAGGGTACCTCCTGCTCATCTGTTCTGGGGCGCCCAGGGTACCTCCTGCTCGTCTGTTCTGGGGCGCCCAGGATACCTCCTGCTCATCTGTTCGGGTGCCCCGGCCCATGGGATCCCCTGGTAGCCGTTACCTCTCTGTGCTTCACTTTCTTCCTTGGTGGGCCATGAGTGTCTCTCTCCAAGGCACGTGTGCCGAGCTGAGGGTGCGAGGTGCTGCTCTAAGTTGGACACGTTCCCATAGCACGTCATTAATTTGTTCACCCCATCCTCTGCAGAGGAGGTATCTGAACCGCCTGCAGCAGATCCGGGACACCCTGGAGGTCTCCGAGTTCTTCAGGAGACATGAGGTAAGAGGCCGGTGGGTCAGGTGACGGGGTCTGGTCTGTGGGGCTTCTGCGGAAGCAGGGCCTGACTCTGTGGGGCTCGCAGGTAATTGGGAGCTCCCTCCTCTTCGTGCATGATCATTGCCATCGTGCTGGTGTGTGGCTCATCGACTTTGGCAAGACCACACCCCTCCCTGATGGCCAGATCCTGGACCACCGAAGACCCTGGGAAGAGGGCAACCGTGAAGATGGCTATTTGCTGGGGCTGGACAATCTAATTGGCATCCTGGCCAGCCTGGCTGAGAGATGAGACTGGGTCCTCATCCCCACTTGGGCTGGCTGCCGGACAGACGTGTGGACCTAGGGTCGTGCCCCCTCTGTGCATGCCGGCAGGAGACTGGAATCCCGCTGGGCGGGCATTCACCCAGCCCTGCAGGACTAGGTGTCAGTCACTAAGGGGCTGCACTGCCAGTACTGGCATTTGGCCTCCAAAGAAGCCTCAGGTTCCCAGAGCTGAACGGCACTCCAGTTACAGCAAGGGAAGGGAGCCCAGGCTTTTCCTCAGCCCAGCTCTTCTGAGGCTGCTCTCTACGCAGCTCTCCAGAGCAGCCAGAAAAAAGATTATTTCATAGGTATAGACCTATTGGTCTAACTTCCTACACTACAGTGGACTCCCCTTCCCAATAAAATGTAAAGACCTAGCTTCTGTGACTCGTCTCATCCCCTCCCTCCTCTGGTCCACTCTTGCCCAGTGCCAGAGTCCACGGCCACACAGATCACTGGAGGATGCGAGAAGAGCTTTTTATTTGAAACAGCTGCAGGGTTGGGGATGGCACCGTGGGGAGAAGGCAGTCCAGAACTCCCCAGTGACGGCCGGGGCGGGCAGGCTGTGGCCATTGGCCCCCAATACCAAAAGCCGGGAGGGGCCAGGCCCTTCCCAGGAGGCCTGGGTTGGTTTCCAGAATGGAAAGTCTGTTGCTGCCAGGCCAGCGCTGAGACAGGCCCAAACATGCAGCTCAGACTGCAGGGGACAGAGGCTACAGGAACAACAAGCCACCTAGAGGCCTGGGAAGGGGTGCAGGGAGGAGCTCAGGTCAATGCCCGAGTCACCCTGCACAGGTGCCCTTGGGGCCCAGGAGCCATAGGTGGGGTTCCAAAGGTTCTGAGGTTGGAGGCCTCCACATTTGAGAGGCTTGAGGCCGGCCGACAGCCAGGTGCCGAGGTTTCCTCCCCGGCTTTTCAGGCTGTCTGAACCTGGGTCCTGGGGGGGTGGGGCTCTCAGGACCTTCAGAGGCCTGTTCCCTAGTGCACAAGCCCCTTCCTCCTCCACGATGGGCCCAGCTTCCACTGGCAGGGGAGAATTCAGCACGTCAGGGTCCTGCAATGGGGGAGTTGGTGGGGCCAAGGGGCCAGAGACTTGCAGCTTTTTCTGTGTATGTGGTACTGAGGAATTGAACCCAGGGTCTCATGCATGCCAGGTGAGCACTACCACTAAGCCACCTTCCCAGCCCCTTTGTGGGTTTTTTTCTGACCCGCTGTGCCAGGGTGGTCAGGCAGCAGGGGAGATGGAGGCACACCTGCGTGCAGTACTGCAGGCGCTCTGAGATACTGGCAAAGTTGGGGCGGAGCTCGGGCTGGTGCTGCCAACATTGGGTCATAATGCGGTACCTGGGGAGAGGAAGCAGTGTGTGCTACCCCTGGCCTGGAGGCGCCCTCCCCTCCCCGGGCAGTACTCCTAACTCACACAGGTCCTGGACAGCCTCTCGGAGGGTCCATCCGGCTCCCTGCGACAACGAAGTCCAGCACCTCCTGGTTGGTGCGCCCAGGGTAGGGCATGTAGCCCAGAGAGAAAATCTCCCAGAGCAGAACCCCAAAGGACCTGCATCAGGGTGGGAAACAAGTGAGGCTCATCATGAGGAGCCCGCGCAGGGAAAGGCCAGGATTCGCTTCGAGGGAGGGGAGAGGAGGATTCAGTCACCAGGAGTCTGTCTTGGATGTGAACACACCCTCCAGGAGGGCCTCGGGGGGCATCCACTTGACTGGCAGCAAGGCCCGGCCCCCCTTGCGATAGTAGCTGGCCCTGTGAGAGGAAAGAGGAGGTGATGAGTCCTGATGCTGCCATCCCCGCGAGAGCCGCTGCCTTCCCACGTCCCCCACACCCGCACCCACCGGTAGATGTCTCTTGCCATCCCGAAGTCCCCGATCTTGGCCACTCGGCTGGGCCCCGCGCAGCTCAGCAGGCAGTTGCGGGCAGCAATGTCCCTGAAGAATTGGGACAGAAAGTCAGCGGTAGGATTCAGAAACTCTCCTTAACAAGCCATGTGGGTGCAACAGCTGCTCCTTGGAAAACAAGCTGGGGGGGAAGGATGGCTCCGCACCTGTGGATGAAGTGATTCTCCTCCAGGTAGTGGCAGCCCTGGGCTATATCCTGGGCCAAGTGCAGCAAGTCCTGCATGTTCAGAGGGGACGGCTGGCCCTGGCTCAGGCAGGAGGCACATTAGTCCAGGCAGGTGTGGGGACACAGGACAGGCTGGGGTGGGGGATATGGGTCTCACCAGGTGTGGCCGGCTCTGCCTCAGGAAACTCTTCATGTCCCCTCCAGACATCAGTTCCAGCAGGATGAGGCGAGGGGCAGCCCGGAAGCTGAGCCCCACACAGCGCACGATGTTCTTGTGACTGAACTTGCTGGGTTGAGTGGTCCACAAACCCCACCGCCAGAGGGAGGTGCAGGGGGGGGGCAAACACATTCTAGGCTCCACAAAATGACCCAGAACCCCTGCTGCCTTAGCCCCTCCCTGCCTCTCCATCCCAGGGGAAGGAGGAGCCATCTCTGCTTGCAGCCTGGGCCCTCTCTCTGCAGCCCCTCACCCCTGTGGGCAGCCCTGGACTCTCCAGCCCCTCACCCCTGCCCAGCCCTGGGTGCACCTGATGATAAGCGCCTCCATGAGGAAGTCCAGTTCGTCCTGGCGAGAGCAGAGCTCCGGCAGGGTCTGGGGAAGAAGAGCACAGCTAAGGACTGCATTTGGCTGGATGCTTCAGGAAGATGTGGATGGTTAAGTTAACCGGAACTCTAGCAACTGCTCACCCACTGGGCCCTGCTCTACACCCCACCTCCAGCCTCCCACCATCTCACCTTGATAGCCACCTGCAGGGGGCTGGAGTCCCCGGGAAGGCCGATTACCAGTCCCTCGTATACCTCCCCAAAGGCACCATGGCCCAGGGCTCTGGAGGAAGGCAGGTTGGGAAGATGTGGGTGACAAGCACAGAGAAGGGTCCAATGCCCCCGTTTATCTCCTTTGTCCCTCCCCTCCCTGGTGTGGTCAGCTGACTCTGTCAGAGCTTTCTGCATCATGGACATCTCAGACACAACCCCTCAGAGGTGAGGCTGGCTCACAGAGCCGGGGCAGGAGGGAAGGGCAGAGTCAAGGTAGGAGTCCCTGATGTGCTGGGGCCGGGGTGAGGAAAAGATAACCTGTGCACTCCGGAAGTCACGTTCCAGGCCTCTAACCCAGCACTGGGGTGGAAGAGGGCTGACCTCGAACAAGGAACAAGTCCCTTTCCCTTTTGGAGCTTGTATGAGCCTCCATCTCTACACCAGGTTTTTGGGTGGATGAACTCAGGGGTCCATAATGCAGGGAGCAGGGTGGGAAGGATTCTTGAGTGCACAGGTTGTCAGAAGGCTGGCTCACCGGAGCAGGGTGACATTGGCTGGGGAAACCTCAGTGAGCCCCGGAGGCAGCGGCCAGGCCTGGGCCAAGCCCAGCCCCACTTGGCAGTAATAGGGATTGGGGGATGTCCTGATGGCAGAGGTTCGAAGCTTGCTCAGCTCAAGTTCAGGACCCCGCAGCCTTGTCCCCCACAGGCCCTGCCACTTCTTTTGGCTCACTGATGGGGAAGAAACAGAAACATAGCCTCCACCACCCATCAGGCCCACCCTGCGTCCCTGCCCATGACACCTTCCAGATGCTTCCCCAGCCTCTCCTGCTCTTTTCCTCCTGGAAGCTCAGAGGAGTCTTCCGCCTACTGCTTTGGAGGGGTTGGAAGACATAGGGGTTCTGGTCACATCTGCTGCTTGGGACCCCACAGCAGCACATCGCCACTCAGTGGAAAAGGACATCCTCAATCAGCCAGGCCTGCTAGATGCTCCGTACCCAGAACCAGGATGCCACACGCTGTAAGCAGGCTCAGTGTTAGGGTTGCCACCACAGCCACCATCAGAACCAGAGGGCCTGCTGTGGCAGGAGGGTCTAGGGAGAAAGAGAGACACCTCCAGTGGGAAGCATTTTCTGTTCTTTTATCTTCGTTGTTTTTGTGCCAGTTCTGAGGCACTGCCCCCTAGCTTTACCACCCATGGCGAGCGCTCTACCACTTGAGTCACAGCACCACTTCCGGTTTTCTGGTGGTTCATTTGAGATGAGTCTCACGGACTTTCCTGCCCAGGCTGGCTTTGAACCTCAATCCTCAGCTCTCAGCCTCCTGAGTAGCTAGGATGACAGGCGTGAGCCGCCGGCAGGTGCTCCACTTCAACTCTGAGATAAAATCTCACTATCTAGCCCTTAGCCTTGTACTAGGTATCCTCTTGCCTCAGTCCCCCTCCCCTGCTAATACACCAGTGCTGAGATTGCAGGCATGCATCACCATGCTTGACTACTCTCAAATCTGACCCAGGCGTCAAGACGTCAGTGTTTACCCATGATACCAACTATCCTAGCAAAAGCAACCTCAGTCTCCTGAGAATCCCTAGAATATCTGGCATCTCCCATAGCAACTGCCATTTTTAGGTATATATCTATTATCTATGTGAATATCCATCTCACCTCCTACACCAGCCTACATGCTCTATATCGCAAAGCATGCACATGCACCCAACCCGGTGCCTGGCACACAGCAGGCCTCTACCATCTTTCCCGGCCCCCAATAGTCCCTCGTCAACTAGGAGCCAGCAGTGCAGACGACAGTAAAGGCAAGACCTACCCATGCAAGTGATGTTGTCGGCAGAGAGCTCCATGCCCTCCGGGCAGATGCACTCAGCCAGGAGGAGCTCTGCCCGCCACAGGCAGTCTTTCAAAGGACAATGGCTGCAATTGGAGTGCCTGCGGATCTCCACCTCTCCGTGGTTCTCTGTGACTGACAGCAAAGAACTGATGTGGTGGGGTGGCGTATGGGAAGTGGGATAGGGAGATGGGGACACAGATGTCTTTTCTAGCAACATGATTAACGGTAGCCCAGGAGTTTAGAGCAAGGAGCAATGCCAAGCGTGGCGCGAGTGCCTGGGGACTTCAAGCCTGTATATCTGTTCCCTCCATCTGGGACCCTGGAGCCCACAGGTATTTCAAGAGCAAAGGATGCTTGGTAAACACTCTAGACTGCCCCATACTGGCATCACAACACACACACAAGCACAGTACACTTCTCCAATGTTCCTGAGCTGTAAGAACTACGTAACTCACAGTGTAGATGGAGCTGGTAGCTCCTGTGGGAGCAGGTCCAGAGACTGAGGGGAATGGCTGGGCCAGGCTGAGCGGTGTGTGTGTGGGGGGGGGTGCCCTGAGGTCAATACCTGCCAGAGGCTGCAGATAGAGTTCACTGCTGGGGTGTATGAAGGAAACCCCATCTTCTCCATCAGCCCAGAGGATGTCAGTCTCTGAGGCGTCACCTCCTGGAAATGGAGTGATGGAGAGCTTGACTATAAAACAGGAGTCAGGGGTTGGAGGGGAAGAAGGGGCACATGGTGGCCTTTCTGCTAGAAAGCTGGCTTATGCTAAGTATGGAAGCTGGAATTTCCCATAGAATGTCCCTACGCTGTCCTCTCTCCGTTGGCTACCATTACCATACAGGGGCTGTCCATGCGCAAGTGGAGCTAAGGGACAACTCATGGGCAAAGAAAGGCCTGGCTCGGGCTGTCTCTCTGAGTCCCTGCAGGTCTAAGTTCTCAGCTACAAAGGAGAGAAGCCTGACCCACACAATCCATTTCTATTCTATTTCTGTGGAAAGGTAGATTTATGAGCAGTACAGCCCAGCTTGCTGCAAAGGCTCTTCTGCCTTACACTGATGTTCCCCAAACTCTGGAGGACCTTGGAATCACCCAGAGGACCAGGACCAGACATAGTAGTGCACATGTGTAATTCCAGCTACACAGAAGATATAATAGGTAGGAGGATCACAGTCAGAGGCCGGCCAAGCAAAAAGCCAACAATCCTATCTGAAAACTAACCTAAAAGCAAAAAGGGCTGGAGATTGGTAGAATGACTGCCTGGAAAGCGTGAAATTTTGAGTTCAAACACCAGTACTGCCAAAAAACCAGCTGACTGGCACCCTGCCCCCGGCGTTTCTGATTCAGGCTATTGGAAACGTCTGGAAATTTGCATTTTGTTAAATTTTTATTGTAGTCACAAAATCTGGTGTACAAAGGGGTTAGTTACATAAGTCAGGTGGGTGCATTTCTTTTTAGCCAATGTCACCCCTTTTGCTCTTTCCTAGTTTTTTCCTCCCATCCTCCCCACAAGATCTATTTTTTTTAAAGCAATGACAGTGATTGAACGAAAAGTTGTATCTGTGTATTGGAAACAACATGATGTTTTTGAAACCTTGCACAGTGACTAGTTTGAGCCAGTCAGCATATGCATCCCTCTTGTGGCCTGAACACCTAAAATCTACTGTCATACTGACGAATACATCGTTAAAGACTGCAGTCACCAAGATGTGTAACAGAACCCTCCAACTTCTCACCCGACTGAAATTTTAGATCCCTTGACCAACATCTTCCCAACCTCACCTCACCCCTAGAATCTGCATTTGTGCTGAAACTACTGGACTGGGAGGGAGGCGGTCATTTAAATTCCCAACAAACCATCCCCGGGCTTTCTGTGCCGGGCTCATCTTTGTTAGCCAGGTCTGAGTTCTTCCACAGAGAACTTGTGTTGGACTCGGTCCTGATTGCAGTGCAAATTCGGGGAGGCCTGCTTGCCTGCTTGCCTGCCTGCCTGCCTGCCTGCCTGTCCATCTGTTTGCACATGTGATTGTGCAATTGCTCTGCCTGGGGAGGCTTGAACTCAGGGCCTTGAGCTGGGGGCGGGGGGAGCAGGTGCTGGATCTCCAGGCCCGGCCAGTGTCGGGGCGGGGCATTTCCC